TATTTTAAATTCTCTTGATTTTTGATATTTACAAAAAAATAATCATTCCTTGAAGATCGAAAATGAACAATTAAAGCAAGGACCACAACACAAACATTGCATGGTCAATATTGTTAAGTTGATCTTGCTAAATGATTTCAGTGTTTGTTGTTCATCAGTATTAGTATTTGCTTTTCCGTTTTAAATGAATCGTTAATTGTTTGTTTGCTTGAGTTGGGCTAAACAAGAGCGATATTTAATTTTCACAGTATTCAATATTCAATAATGTAATAATAATATTATTTAACATTTATGGCAATATATATTAATATTTAATTAATATAATTGATATTTATTTTTCTTGTGTCACGAAATCGTTGCCGGTTATGGAGGAGGGAAAAAAGATTAAAATTGGATATGTTAATGGGAAAATAAAAATGTTAATTAAAATTGATGATTGGAATGAAAATAGGAGCGAGAATGTAAAAGAAAGAGAAAATCGAAAACAACTAAAATTCTAGTAAATTGCACCATTAAAAAATTAAAAGTGCAATTAATAAATAAATGAAACGAGAAAGAATGTGTCGTCATGAACGTTACAAACTAATTTTAGTTGTCGGATGACGAAAACTGAGAGAAACTAAGGTGAAAGGTACAAATTCATTCATCATAATCGCTAATCCAATATAACGTGAACTTATTGGTTGTGTTCTGTCTGATACTGCGTGGGTGGGTTAGTGTGTTTGTCCGGTTTAAAGGGGTTTACCCTGTTGATTTTTAGGTTTGTAGGTTTCGTTAGTTATTAGTTAGTTATTGATCCTATTTAAACTCCTTGTATTTGCATTATTCGTTTTTCCAAGCTTAAGTTAAGGTCTTTCTTTCTTTCTTTTTTTTGTATTGTGTCTCTTGGTTGCTGGCCTTTTATAAGTTTTATTTAGATTTATACTGTTGCAGTGTTTGTTTTTGTTTTGTTCATTTCGTTCTTGTTTGTCTATTATTTGCTAAAAAAAATAATTGATTAAATGATTGCCATCACCAAGGTTATTTCATTTTCATTCTACAAGATTGTAAGTTTTCATAACATCTGTTTTAGGCGCCTAGTTTTTAAGTCTGCTTCTAAGTAATGTTTTTATAAAGTTGATTAACCCCAGTTGTTCTTATAGAACCGTGATACAACTGAACGAGGCTCTTAGGAGATAAACAATTGTATTAATGTGCTTTCGCAAAAGAGAAAACACAACATCCAACATTAAGACATTTATAAAAACACTGTTTTATGTTTTCCTTTAGGCTATTGTACAATTTTTTAGTCTTATTCAAACTTCATTTTCCATCTATGAAAAGCGACATAAATTTAATTCTGGAAATAAAAGCATAGAGAAAAGTAGAGCTTTCACGGTTGGGTGCCTTGTAAAATTAATGCATATTACGTTGGTTGGAAAACTGTGAAAATGATGGAAATATGGAGAAATGCATGGGAGACATACGGTTTCTCATTATTTTCCCTCATTATTTTCCCTCATTATTTTCCCTCATTATTTTCCCTGTTCATTGCGGTTTGTCCCGAGTTTCTTTCTTTCGTTGCATGACTTTCTTCCGTGATGTGCACGTTCTGTGTCTGATAGAAATTTATTGTTTTGTCAAAGTTTTAATTGCACTGAGAAGACTGTTCTTGAATATTGGAAAAGCTTTTAAACGCACCCCCAAATGCAATACGACATTACAACGCCAGTATAATCAAAACTAAAGAAAACAACGAATCATAGATATCATCACTTGGTTGCTTCATTTATACGTGGTTATCATTTTTTAAAACAAGTGCGGAAATGCTAGTTCTTTTTTCATCATACTTCAATCCAAATATCCAATCATCCATCTAAGATTTTCCTCTGGCGCGTCTGATGTGGATGATTAATGTTTTCCTAAAGATATCAATAAAAAAGTCTATCATTTTTCTCTTTTTTTTTTTTTTTTTTTTTTGAAGAAAAAATCTGAATTTGGAAAATCTGATTTCTATTTTAATCTTTTTATATCTGCCATTTTAGCGAAAAATAAATGATAGATAAGCGCCCACGCACTACGGTTGGGGATATAAAAGAGAAAAAAACTTTGTTGGAAAACAAAATCAGACCTATTTATTGACTGATTAGCACTAGTTAAATGGCGGATTTGAGCTGAGTAGCCAAGATGTATTGTAGTTGCCTATAGAAATCGTATCATTCACACTAATTTCCATCCTGTGTTTGCTCATTTGTCGCTCAAAGTCATCAAGGATCTTAAAGAGGCTGGGTGTTTTTGTTTGAACCTGTAAGTCCGCCGTAAAAGAACTGCTAATCACGTAGGGCCTCGTAGAGAAATGATCAGTCTGATATTGCACTTTTGTTGCTTTCACAGGTGACTTAAACCACGCAACAGGAAAAAGATCGTTGTTAATTGCAGAACTTGGAAAGAGGACGCTTTGATCGTATTGAGAAAATGAACAATATTGATAGTCAGAACCAAAGTTTACTTGATCATAATGGAAGCATCACCACTTCGTCTGGTAAGAGTACAACGGGATATTACGAATTGATAGCGATATCAGTGCTATATGGAATTCTGCTGGTGGCAATACTAGCTGGAAATGGGCTAATACTCGCTTCTTTCGTTATCAACAAAAAACTACGAACTATCACCAACAGGCTTGTCGTTGGGTTAGCTATAAGTGACGTTCTGGTGGGATTGGTATCCATCCCGTGCTGGATGTACGTTTTTATTTGTCAGTTCAAGGGAATCACATACAATAGTTGGGTCTACCAGTTTTACATTGTTTTTGACATATTTATTGGGAGCGCGAGTATTCTTCAACTTACAGCTATTGGCATCGAGAGGTGTCATGCCGTTGTCAGGCCATTTCGTCACCGAACACTTCCAAAACGGGCGTTTTATGTCATGGTATCGGTTCCCTGGTTTTATGCTGGCTTTGTTGCTGTTCTTCAGCCTGTTCAGTACAAGAGTTGGAGAGAAGTCTACACTATTCTCATGACCACGACGTGTTTTCTAGGACCACTATTGATCAACGTGCTATCTTATTCCTGTATTGTCAAGTTTGCGCATTCCAAGCCCCGACGCAACCTAACAGAGCAAAGAATCCCAAACTCTGTTTACCGTAAGGAAATTAAACTCGCTGTTACGGTGGCATTGATAACAGCTCTCTTTGTGGTTGCTTGGTTACCGCTGTTTGTTGTGACGGTGATAGGCACCTATCATCCTCAGAACCTTCCTTCCCCTGTATGGAGCGACCGATTGATCAAGTTTGTCAAATGGATGCATTATGGAAACAGCGCTGTTGATCCTTTTTTCTACGCCTACAGAAATAAAGATATCATTCTAACGTTCCGTTTCATCGTCCTCAGACTTTTTTGCCGAAAAGTGACGCTTATGGAGTTACACCATGTTACTGGTTGCAACAAAGGAGCATCTACGAAAGCTTCAATTTTTAAGAACAGTTGCCATAAAGACGAACGAAAACCGTTTCATTCTGTAATTAGAATTTCATCTTCTAATAATAATGAACAGTCTACAGTATAATTAAGCAAGCAGGTATAGAATAGTCGAAAATGTTCGAATCAGGATAAACAGCAAACAATAACCAATATTTGATAGGAAGGATTATTTGATATTGTTAGAGTGATTGCTGCAAATCCTTCTGTCCAAAATGATTTAGAATTCAATTTTGAAATAAAAGTCGTATCATAAATAAAGGAAGAGAAAAAAAAGATGAAAGGAAGAAGATAAGGAGGCCAACACAATCCAATTATTTTGTCATCTTTTTACTTTACAACCGAGTTTGACTGATTCAAGCTTGAATTATTGATCTTTGCATGGTTATTAAGAGTTCATTTATAAGCTTATCCACAGTCTTAGAAGAGCTTACAGAGGATTTTGTACGACCATAAACGCTTGTATAGTCTTGACACGAAGCTTGAGTGAATTTCCTTTCAATACACGACACTAAAATAGCTTACAGATGCAATCGCTGTGTTTGTATAGTGTGCGTTTCTCGTGTATAATTGGCTCAGACTGGCGCATAAGAAATCTGCTCTAATCTAGTGTCAGTTCTTTGTACTCGCTTAAGCTGGTTGTTTGTTCTTTATTGTTTTGTTTTGTACATTAATGGAAATAATTCATTCGATCATAGAAGCTAGTATAAGGAATTTATTTTGTCGTTTTTAAGGAAAAGAAATGCCACGAATTCCACTGAGCAAAAGTGTGATTTCTTTTGTGATTTATGTAAGCCTCGCATCTAATAAGATATTTTTGAGCTTGCATTCTACTGGTAAAAAAGTAATATTACGAAAGAGAATGACGCCTAACAATAGTATAAGGTCAATTTATAGTTTAAGAATCGTTTTCAGTACGCATGCGATTTTATCCCGAATTTCTCACCTTTTGTTTAAACCTTTTGTTCTTAAATAAACAAAATTCCTAAATGGGAAACCGTGGATAAGCCTTTTGGTACCAAAATTCTAGGATTCTCTTGAACCAGCGTTCCTATGTTCTCCAAAGAACAAAATTTCAACTAATCGTAAACTAGACGTTTATTTTTAGAAGACTTCCGATTGTTGCATTAGCTATTGCCTTTCGTGACGGACTGACCGCAAGGAACGCAGGCTCGTTGTAGAGAACTGATGAAAAACGAAAGCTTATGATAGGAATTATTTTGGCTTGCCTCAAATATGTTTTTTTTTTTTTTTTTTTGTTATGGCTAAAAGGTTTTCTGTTTCTATTATCAAGCCGCCCTTGAGCTTATTTGACTCAGGTAATTCTGAGTATAAGGTTCAACATTACTGTCGTTTTTACTTTATGATAATATTCTCATTAAGTGAGATAATCCAATCTACTAAGGCTTAGTGGGGAGTTGGATATTAAGGTAATTTCACTTGATATTTCTGGAATCCGCTCAACCAGAGAAAATATTACATCACTGACTAACATCAATCTGGGTGATCGAGGAATCAACGAATAGACCACTTTACCAGTGCTCTAAAATTTGGCCGAGACTTTGGGAATTAATTTTGATCCGGTACTGACAATACATTCGGTGCTTTTAAGACTCTTCAGTAATGATAATTAGTTAAAGAAAACCTAAAATAGCCTGGTAATGATTTCCTGGAGAATCTTGAGATTGCAATCATGATGGACCCTTCTCGAGGAGAAGTGTGACTGATTTCTTTTGTACGGTTTTCATGTTAGCCATTCATTCAAGTTAATTTTGAGAAGAGTCCATTCACACTGAATCTCGACGTAGGTCTCTATCAATGAAAATTTCGGGAGCTTTTAATTAAGTGTATGTCACATCGCTCTTTACCCTGACTTGTCGGTAGCTCACTCCAATCTCCCTTCGCTCCCTCCCTCTCCACTCAATTTTCCATCCCCCTCCCTCCAAAGGGAGCAATATTGTGCAGCCTCACTGAAGAAGAACTGAGATGGACCAAAGGAGAAAAGAAAGAGATAAAGAACAAAAGAAAACGAAGAAAAAGATTTTCAAGTATATGGTTTACGTAGTTTACGTCCAATTGAGCGGAATCAGTGTAAACGTTATGCATAGAAACCGAGAATGATTTTGAAATACTTGATTAAGATGCTGCAACTTAAATTGCAGTTATAATTTTTTTTAAATTAAAAATAAAGTATTTTATCATGTTATTCGAAAAAAAAAAAATGTGTACATCCACGACTTGTTTTTCGACCCATTTTCGACTTATTTCCGACTCACGAATTGCATGGGACCCACGACTTAAGACGCACGACTGTTAAACAAACATGGGCATGGGTAATGGTGAAGGGTTCCTGGCTAAAAAAATTATTAGTTTTTCAAACAAATACAAGAATATTTTGTTAGCGAGTATGAAAATTTTACTACATAAAAAATTGAGTTTCGGGAGCGTTTCTTTCCAACACGGAAAAAACTTCCAACAACATTTCAAGTGCTCAGTATGCACTAATCATCTAATCATTGTTTTTTTCGACGAGATTTTTCTTTGCTTTTGAAATAAGGCCAAGGCTTTTTAAAAATCGGTCTTCGAGTAGATTAAAATGATTGCCTGTGAACTTGGTATATACGACTGTATTTCAATCATTGTCAAAGATGTCGAGTGTTCAAACTTCGGCCATAACGCTCATGATTGGATGTAAGCGTTTACGATGATGAAAACTTGAAATTGATATTAAATTTGTCATTCAAAATTAGATCATTTATTTCCTCTTTTCTGTTACAAGGTTTAATTTTTCATTATTTGGCGACAGACTGAAGATTAAGCTTTAGTTTTGGTTAGAGTAGTTAGAAAATGAAATATTCATCTCTAGGCAAACAATGGGAATGTGGTCTGTTGTCATCAACCAATGACTCGTGGATATACAATGAAAGCACCTGTCACATTCTGAAAGCCACAATGATATACTAAGTCTCTTTAGACGAAAATGGTAGCTCTTTAAATACGCTCAACGAACTCGTACGGCCTATTTGATGCCTTCCATGTCTGCTCTAAAGACGTTACAGTTTTACAATTTATCAGGTCAGTCAAACTCGAATTTCTCCTGAGACTTTTTAAATCCCTTGGCATACAGAATGTCAAATGTTTGACAGTTTGTAGACCGAGTTGTGTATTGAGGAGTTGGCTTTCATGTCTGTGGCTTGATTACATTGTTAACTTTGTACACCAGTCGACCGAAAGTACAGAATAGCTAGACATTATGGAGAAACTGGAGGCACATATTACCGTCGACACTAAGAACTTCGAGCATCATCTTGTCTCTGACAACGGCTTTAGACTCTTCGTTTTTAGAGAGCTAAACGAGATGAGGAAAAAGGACCACTTGTGTGATGTTGTTATTGTGACAGACAATGGAAATCACCGCCGTTTTGCGGCCCACCGTGCCATCTTAGCGGCAAGCAGCCGATATTTTCATAAACTTTACATAGGAACCACTCTTGTACGGTACTCCAGAGAAACCATATTGAGTGGAATCAGCGAAGAGTTACTGGAAAAGTTGCTGGATTATATATATACATCTGAGATATGCATTAATGGCGAGAATGTACGCGCTATTATACATACGGCGTTTAGCTTAGGGATGGATCTGTTGATACAGGAGTGTGAAGATTATTTAAATAAACACCTTCACAGCGGGAATTGTATCGAGATGATGACTTTGGCTCAGAATTACTCATGTGAAACGCTTTTACAGAAGTCAAAACGCTGCATCAGCGAGCACTTTCTCAAGCTTAGCGTTACACAGCCATTTCATCGTATGTCTGCTGACCAGCTACAATCCATCATTGCAGACGACGATCTGAACATAACTAAGGAGGAAGAGGTTTACGAGGCTGTGATTGGCTGGATTCGGTATGATTTTGAACGCAGGAGAGGGCATTTTGAGAGTCTTTTGAATCATGTTCGTCTGTCGTGTTTGTCTAGACGGTATCTTGTAAGTACTGTAGAAAGAGAACCACTCGTGATGGCGTCTGACAACTGTAAAGGCCTGGTATCTGATGCTTTGGCTTTAAAACTGACCGAGAAAAGAGTGAGCTCCGCTATGTTGAGTAACAAACGAAAGAGAAGGTAATGCCGTGTTTGCTCTTGGTTGTAAGAACTTTACTTCGTTTCTTTTTTCTTATTTTACTGCCATCCCTCCCTCCCTTTTTCCTAGGTCCCCCCCCCCCCACTTTCCCTATTTTTCCCTCCGTTTTTTCCCTTCCTTTCTTTCTTTCTTTCCATGTTTCAGTTTCATTTTCTCCTTTGCTTTGTCTGTCTGTCCGTCCGTCTATCTTTCATTCATGATACTTTTTTCCTCTCTCATTTTCTCTCCACTTATTATCTCATTCTCTTCTCATACTAAAGACTAGTGTCTTCTAATTAAAGTTTTCCCAATTTAGCTCCTTTGCTCTTGAGTATAACCAATTTTCTACTGAATTCACATATACAAACACTAAGAGGATCTTATATATGTTAGTCCCAACACGTCATGCTGAAATAGCAAGGAATTTCGCCTTAAGACGAACGGGCTATCAGAATTATATAAGAAGAATTAACTCGCGTTCTCATTGGCTGCTTCTCCAGGTGGAGAACATATCTAATGGAAGCTATAGTCATTGTTGGAGGTCTGATGGAAGATTCTATCCCAGGCAAATGTACTAACTGTTACAATCCTCAAACTGGTAAATGGTATTCGCTGGCTAAAGTACGAGACGACAGGTTAAACTTTTGCATGACGCGTCTTGGGTATTGGCTGATTGTTTCTGGTGGTTGCTCAGCTAAAGAGAACCTCCACGTTTTGTCAAATGCCGAACGCTTTGATCCAAAGTTTAATAAATGGGTGAAAATTGCAAGCATGAATCAAGGTTAGTGATTAATGCCAAAAAATATCGCAAGCTTCTCTAAACCTTTTTTTTTTTTACAGCAAATCACACAGCCTAGCTAGTGCAAGTGGTCTTTGTACTTGTACTTGCAGTTACAGCTGATTTCGTGACCGAAAACGAAAACAAGGGTAAAATTTGTATGAAAACGGTTCACGGAATTTATTGGTATGTCCTCCAATCTCCCCTGGCTCTAGGCCAATCAGAAAGCGAGAAAATTCACAAATGTGGTAAAAGTTACAGTATTTCATGACCTATCCGTGACGTTGGCGTGTTTGAGCGTTCTAATTGGCTAAAAATAATTTTGCGTCCTGTGATTGGTTAACCGTATAACATAAGTTTTCAATCATAAGAAAACTGTTCTCATGAGTTATATGTGTGCTGTATTGGAACTTCTAGTTAAAATGCCAGTTCTTTTGCTCACCGTACTAATGATTGGAAACATCCTTATTTTACTTAGAATTTTATTTCGTTATATCCCTAGCTCGCTTTAAGTGTGAAGCAGCCGAAGTCAACGGTAAGATCTACACCATTGGCGGAATCACAAGAATGGATTCCCTTGATGGATTCTCCGCTATAGAGTGCTATGATCACTTGACAGACTCATGGACTCAAAAGAGCGCACCTCGTCAGCCTCGACACACGCTCTGCGTTGCAGTTCTCAATGGATGTATCTACATAATTGGAGGTAAGAGAATGGGTGAATAGATAAAACGAAAGAGTGAACGATAAAATGAATGGAGGGATAACTGCAGAATGGGTGGGGGAGTGAACCAAAAGAAGAAAGGAAGAAAGGAAGAAAGGAAGAAAGGAAGAAA